AACGCAACGGACCAAACTTCCGACAAGGTGCGAGTCGTTTTCACGCTTCACTTGTATGTCCACCGTGCACCGTGTTGATACCCTATCCCACCACGGTCCCGCTCCATACAACCCGACAACGTACTTCTCGTAATCATTGAGTTTTGATTGGTAAAATTCGTGAAGACTGGTGAGCGGGGGTCGGGATTATCTGATGCGACATATACTAAGGGGATAAAATGCAATGAAACACAGACAGTATTGTTTTTATTCGCTGGAGTTTCCAAATCAAACAGCCATTGTAATACGTTTGTCTCTTTAGAACGCAGGCAAAATCAAATGGGCAGGACATTCATTCCCTCTGTCCCCACCCTCGTCATTGATACTTCCAGGTGGACAAGCCTTACACACAGTTTGACGGGCCACGAGTACCACGCTTGATAATCAACACGTGCGAGTTTAGCTCCCTGCTCCACTTCTACCTCCCCCGATCTTCCTGAGTCTGTCACAGTGAACCGCATTCCGCTTGACTTTATCCGCATTTGGGTATGACCATGAAACTTGTCAAAAGCACTGTCCGACTTCCTTTTCCCAAACTGTACAACCACCACAACGGGGACCGTTCACTCCCAGATCCCAAGCCTTCCCAGTTCGGGCGAAGCTAGAACACGCTCACCTAAAGTCAGCCGTTGGAAACGGTTCACCTCACAGATCAGCGGAAGAGACAATAAATCAAAAAAGAATGGAGTATGAAACGGGCTGGGTTTATCGTGGTCCTCCGTACAATTTTCCATATGGCTTACTGATGCTTGGTATTCACGGTTCGTCGAAAATCTAAATGGAAAAGATATGATTATGGAGCAATGCTTGTGAGCGCACAATTTGTGTTCTGATTTTGATCAGATTTCACCCTTAAATAATTATAATTTTGAATAATATCTATCACTAGATCGCTCCCTTTAGAGACAGTCAATGGACATGTAACTTCTAGAGTTTCCGCACAACAGTTTTGCACTGCGAATGAAAGTGCACGGAAGTAATTTCGTGAACCATCAATCCCCGAACGGTGATCACAGTTTATTGCGTATTTATGAATAATCAGTCATTTATTCGCACCGAACGACTCGCGTTGATAAAATAAATACGTTTGTGAGTTTTGGAGAAAGTCTGTTGAGAAGTTAGGTCCTTGTCCGGCAAAGTCAAATAGATCCAAATAAAAGTATCAATAGAAAGTAATATTAACAAGGTAGAATCGAGTAAGTGAAAAGTGGGATAAGAGGATTCCACACAGACCGAATACAAATAGAAACAACCACGCCCGAAAGCTTGTTTGATGCTGCTTTCTTATCACGGAAATGATCCACTTTTGGATTGCATTTTTATGTGAAATGAGAATTTAATTGGCTGCGATCATCATCAACGGTTGGCAGTGATCGACAGAGAAATCACCATAGAGCCGACAGATTCTGTCTCAATCATATTGACTCGGCAAGTTTGGACCGACACAAGCACGCAAACCTAATTCATTAACGATTGATGATGAGTGTTGTTATTTTCACTTCTCGTCTACTAACTGAATACACAACGGTAGATTCAATTTTCAGAAACGGGTTGCAGTTAATCAAACACTGTCTAGGGATTTGAAAACATAGACACTTGGCCGTTGTGACATCCTTCATCCGACCACTGCACTCAAAACAAAAGCTTCTTTCGTCATGCAGTTATAACATATTACAGATATAAATACAAAGGTTTTTCGTCAAGCAGAATGAATGTATTGTCTGCGCGCCATTTCAGTTCGTTACGCTACGAATATTCTCTCTAGGATTTATTTTGGTTCCGAGTGAATACTGCATAATGACCACTAGAAAGACTCATTCGCGATCTTGAGTGATCAGTTTCATGCATGATGTACTCAACACTGTGTCCTTGCTTGCCCACTTTCGGAGTCCTGGACTAAGGAAAAAATGCAGGTGCGGTGGTTGGCAATGAGCGCTTTGTAGCATCCTCCCATCCAAAAGGATTGAACCCTCATCAGTCGGCACGAAAACGGTTCTAACGAGCACCCGCAATTCACGCATCCACCGCAGCACATCTGTCGTTTGTACATAACAATCCTGGTACGACCAAGTTGTTGAGTACTCAATAGTTTTAAATGCTTCCTTGAGGTCAGAAAACATTGTGAGCAGAAGGTAAAGTGATCACCTACGTCAACCCTCTATCTTGGAGCGGCAACTTTGAGGTTGTTAGTGATGATTTCATTAATGACATCGACTGTTTACCTATCCGATGTTTCTCTAAATTTTCGTGATGCAGAAGCACTATTATACACAGCTAAATCTTGTCCTCGGACTCACACTTCATGTTTCTTTGATACATTTACAGCGTTTTTCGTTCTCCCCATATTATTGTTGGTGACGCGTCACGCGTCCACATATCCCATTTCCTCTTTTGCTTTGACTGGTAGTTGTCCACTCCCTACAGGGGGCGATTCATTTTTTGACGAGGTAATTAGTAATCACCGGAAACATCTTGCTTTAAGATTCACAGCACCTGTTTCCACCAGTGATCAGGTTCTGATTCTCATAAGTAAGTTCACAGTACAGTTATAAAACCCAACCAAGTCACGAGTGGACTTTACCATCTCTCCTCCTGAAACAATACTCTTCTTCGGCGTTCCATTAGTGTTATTCTTCGTGGTTTTCCTCCCGTTTTTCTCTACCTAATGCACTCAGTTTATTCACTAAAACACTCAATCACACCTTTGGTCTATGCTGGCCTTTCGGAAACTCAGTTCGTCTGTAACAGTGGGATAGCACCTCCATTTCTAAAACCACTCAGACAGAAAGAACGATAGTACACGTTTAGAAACTAAGTGTCTGACAAGTACTGCTCCAGCATCAGGTTAACCGCCTGTCGGTATCCTACGCCAATCAGCCTCTGAAATATAACAACAGAAAGCGCATATAGTAATTTGCTCTGTCGGACCAAAGTCGAACTCGATTGGGACACTGTTAACACAGCATTTGTCCATTCATCAAACGATGCCATCACGCCATTGGCTCTGAATGATGCTGGTCAAGCTGAGACCGGTTAAAAAGGAATTCTCGAGCTTTTGTGCACCACGGAAACCACGCATACTGTTGGTTCCGATGATTTTTCACCTGCCCATTTGAAATATGGAGACAATTCTACTACTGAAAGTTTAGCATCATTCCTAAAGAGCTGGTCCGCTCCAGACGGCTGGAGACTGGCAACAATTCTTCCCAATCTGAGATCCTCTAATTCAATTGTTTTAAGACTTCAGTTTCACCGCTTTAACTTCTGTTTTTCTTAAGCTAACAGAACGTGTTATCTCTTCACGTATCCAGCACTCATTCGATGTCTCGTATGAATTTCTTCAGTTTGCCTACAAATCATACAGATAGATGATAGGTGCGGTTTCCTCACTTCCGGGCTGGAGGTAACCACGTGGACACGAGGTATGAAGAAATACACAAAACGATTAGGTAAAGTGATTGCCTTTCGCCTTCCAGGTTGCGGCCTAAAATACCCTTCAGCTAGTTGGTTGGAGACACTGAAGGGCAGTTCAGCGAATTGAAAGCAGTGGCGTTCTTGGTGTCATTTTTAACATTTAGAAAGTTAAGGATTTACAGCTGTATTGCGTACTTTGTCAGTTGACCATGATTCATTTTATTTTCCGCTCTCGGTTCACTCTAGATATTCTCACTTTGTATGGATTGCGAGTTTGGCAGCGACCAGTGAGGCTCGCTTCACTTTATTTAGCTATACGAAGATGACGATGACGTAAATTACTCTGCGAAATCCGTAGGCTGTGCATTCGTGGACGACTCATCTGTCTTTTGGATTTTGTCCCTCGTTCTTTCAATCTTTTTAACCTGGAAACCTTCGGCTGCCCTAAGCAATAATCAGTCAGACTTACTGATCACTTTTTTGGGAGAACTCAATGCACCAGGCTAGATAGAAAAAACCCAGGCCACTGATGAATAACTCTGGGATACTCCAAGGTTCTTTCCCCACACATTTTCTAACTATATTAGCGATTTATCTGCAAACGCATCTACTCCTCTCTTCAACTAAGGTGACGACGCGGTTTTATGTCGGACTATCACATTCTCTTTTCATAGTTTGAAATTTTCCGACAACTTCGAAAAAGTTCAACATTCTCCTGCTACTTCCGATCTCTCTCTTATTCCTTCGAACTGTTTTCAATGTCTCCTTAAGTTATCACGTTCTTCTTTCCGATCTGATTCTGAATCTATTGCTCAAACCCGGTATCCCGGTTAAGCTGTATCAAATACCTGGACTTTTGTCGATGCTAATCTTCATTGGACCTCTCAAATTCAACATGTCGTCACAATAGACTGACTTGCTTCTCGTATCTCCGAGCTTCGTCGTTTTAGAATCCAAAACTAATTTGAAGATAATTAACTTCAAATTCGTGACTCAGTGTTTTCCTTGTTATAGTTTATCGTTCACTTAATATATTTTCTAATATCTTAAAGAAAGACTTTGAGTTGTTTCGACGTGGAGTGAATGTCATTAACCGAGTCTCTTCGATCCCATTGGAAAAGTGAATGTCATTTGAATGCATATGAAAAGTTTGCACATAAGATTCTTAATCGGACGAGCTAACGATTTGGGCTATCCGGGCTGGTTCTCAGCAACTTATTATTATTAGTCAGTGCTCATCCGACACATCGGTTGAGAGAATAATTTCACTGCAACACCAAAGATCACCGCGGGAACGAACTGAAATAAAACTTTAAACTAAAGTGTCTAAACAGCCGTCATTCACCTGATCATCTTATAAGAAAACCAGCTAGGGGTTATCCATGGTTTACGTGGATGAATCCTCGTCATACGTATGATGCACAAATCTTCGATCGAAGTGCGCTAGTCAGAACTTTATAATTAATGTAGGTAAAAATAAGTCACGTGATCAAAGAAACCGGCGATTTATTTTATTTACAAAAATACGTGAGAGTAGGAAGTTCAAATCACTCGGAAACGGTTAGTCGAAGAAAATAGCGGTTGTGTCGGAAGACACAATATTGCTGAAAAGGGAGGGAACAGTAAGAAACGACGGGGATTAATAACCTAAGGAGAATCAAATGACGAAATGACAAATCAAAACGAGTATCAGCCGATGTATACAAACAAAAGTGATGGACCTGGTCTATTAAATTCACACCAGTTGATGGAAGTAAACTAAGTGTGATTTAGCCTCACTTGCCCACAGTGCTCCAATAGGACTACACCCTGATTCAATATACTATGTCTCGATCATCTGATATCGAACTAGGATTACCAGGTTCGTGCAAGTCCATAAGTGATAACAATAAGGCGAGAAATGATTGCTTATATGCACCAGTAAATTGTTTTGGAAACTTCAACCAGATGAGACACTTTTAAAACTGATGCACCCCCACTGACCTTGAGCATGGCATAAATAGACTTTTTAGGCAGCGCGACCTCGGTAAGTTGATCCAATTTGTCTTGAACCTCTTTGATACGAACACTGGAACACGATTCGAACAGCTCGAGAATGACACCACGCAGCTGAAGTAGAAAGCGGAGTGTGATATCTATAGGCCATTGTATGGGACGGAAGTGTCATTCTGATACAGGGTTAAAAGGAGTCGCTGCAACAATAGGATAAATGATCGAAAAGTTGCCAGTACATCCCCAACTTTCTAAATGTTAACTGAAACGGCAATAAAGAAGGTTTTTGGTCTGATAACAGAATTCGCAAAGTAGTGCTTGTATTTTGGTAAATATGCATTCAGAGTAGTCGCAGCCAAGAATAGCACCATTCTACCTTCTAACATGGTCCCATAATTTACTAATCGAAGCAATGAAATCAGGAGTACGATTTTTAAGTTCATAAAAGGATTTGTGGCACTGACTGCCTGTATCCAAAGATTCTAGGGTACATTACGGCTACGTCGAGAACACATCACTACCGATTGTGTTCTAGTTAGGACAAAGATATACGCATCGATGCATAGAACTGAAAGATAATGTGTGCACAAGAGAACAGGGCTCAATCCACCCAATAAAATTGAAATCCCAACATGAGTCTTTCCTAAAGGTACCATTTGAGTCTCGGAATTAGGGAATACACCGTGCAGTTGGTTTATGAAGATGGTGCAATACGGTTTTCGATCTGGAAAATCATTTTTTGTGGCTGTGAACCAATATCTAATTTTTTGTGAATTCCGGTGCCAAGAACAGTTGGTTTGTCACAGTGGATGAAAATCAATAGGATTTCAGTTAAATAGTGAGGAAGATTGAAATCACCGTGAGTGAATCACACCGACCAGCCACTCAATTAATAACACTCATATGAGGAAAACGAAGTTGTCGTGTGTGAGGGAAACATCGTTTATAACTATTCCTTTTTAGAATTTAATTTATCACATCTGGATTTTGAACGGAAATTTCCCCCCTCCCCCCTCAACCACAATGTTACCAAACGAACGCAGATAAGGAGAGAAAAAACTTGAGACATTCTTTTCCCCACAGTAGTTTGAACAAAAATCGGGAAATCCGTAACATGGTGCAATGCTTTTCGGGGATCACCTGGCCGTACACCTCAGATCGCGCTTTCAGCGAAAATCTCTGATACACATCAGGGATAATTAGTGAAAAATACTCAGAAATGCAGGAGTAACAGTCGAAAACGCACCGATGAGATAAAATGAAGGATTTTCTGTCGGTTGAATACTATGATCTTCACAAGTAATGAAGATAATACGGAATGTCAAAAACCATTGACCTGTCTACGCGTTGCTCACATTTACCTCTCACTTGAAGATGCAAAAGACCTGAGTTTTTCACTCCCCTTCGGTTGTGCAACATCCAATGTACTGAACTCGAAATGCGCCTAATATGGAATATAATGAGCCCCTTCGTTAGATTATCACCACCCAAAAGCACAGAGTTCCTACACCTAGGGTTTCCTGGGGTTCTCGGCTACTTTGGATCACGTACTTTGATATGACAGTAGAAGAGGGATCCCACAGTTACGATGACATCATTTCCTTATGAAGGATAGAGATATAAATTGATTTTCGTAATTTTTTTCAACATATGACTTCGAAGCTATGTCTGTTGGTTTTCACATACTGTCTCCTGTGTCTTTTCGAACGTCATACTTGAATTGAACATATTTGTTGTCATTACTATCATATTTATTAGCAAAGTAACGGGTGCGCTTTTGTGGACACACTCATGTGTAGCAGTCTGGAGGCTGTCGGTACAGATAGGTTTCCGACGCACCAGGTGTGAGCATCTATGATGATTGTAGTAGTAGTAGTAGTTATACACACGGAACTCGGAATACAAACCACGGAATAGGGATCACAGTACAGGAATCAAAGATCAGCTATCACGGACTGGATTACGGAAGCACCGGATCGCAATGCCACGAGCTCGCAATATCCCAGGTGAACGAGACGCGAGGAAAAGGCCACAAGACTGGCAACTCGTACTTCGGTTATTGGAAGGAATGAAAGCGATTAAATAATATGTACAAAAGAAGGTCTTTGGTTATCTAGGCTTCTACCAATCATATTGCTTCTGTCTGCACTGTCTCGGATTGGCTGGCACAACCTGCCTATGGCGTGCAATCAGAAGCCTTACGCGTGTCATTGATGTCACCTTTCAAATTTGACTGATCGCAGGTGTCCAGAAACTGCAACGCGCCATTCCAGGGTAGGCGTCATCTCGTAATCCTGGATTACCACAGCATCGCATGGGAATTCGTGCGGGTTCTATTTTCAAGAAATCAATACCGCATATAGTATAAATTTGCTATTGAAACCTTTCCAAATAGCACTGGATTTCGAAAAATCACAAGTAAAAAATTCATCCTTGTTAATTAACGATTTTTTTGATTAGTTTTAGTATATTACTAATCTCATTCTTAAGCCTTTTATTCATATTATTGTGGACATTTTTATACGAATATATGGGTTGCCCGTTAACTTAGATGAACGTCCCGAATTACGTTTGTTCGAAAATATATATATTACTGAAGAGTAGTATGATTCGGTATTGCGAAAGATGGCTTAAGAGGGACTAACTCGCATCCAGTGTAGTGCAAAACAGTACGAAAATCAGTCAATCCAGGGTAACCGTCCACGTGGTAAATCCAGAAAGTGAGACAACTAGGACATGGGAGAAAAAAATACGGGTGATTACCTTTTGCGTCACCTCCGACACGGCACCGCATTCTGTGCCGCCTACAATAGCTGTGATCAGGACGTCCTGAGGCAAAGCGGTTGGTATGGTAGGCCAAGGAACGTTAATTTGTCGCGCATCCGCATCTGCTAGAGATTCCAAGATCCAGGTTGTGAGAAGTTCTCGTTCGGCTTCCGATCCGGGTAGAATGTTCCGAGCTTGTAATAACTCTAATCCGATAGTTTGCTGTTGAATGAATGAAAATGAGAACAGATGGATCAAAAATTGATAACCCGAGCAAAAAATAGTCCCTCTTTCGATATAATCCTGCGGTAGTTCACTCTTTACGCTTTTCCCAACTGAGAGTCTGACCATTTTTCTTCTAGGCTGTAAAATACACAACATGAGGTATTGGGTTTCAGACAAAGCACAGAAAGCTAAAGGAAAACGCTTGTGATGGTCGTGCCCGTTAGGGTATCTACGTAATAAAGACGTCACCCAGTCCCGTTGCTTTGTGATTTTTCCTCGATTATGTGTCACCATATTTGCACTGTGCTCTGGAATTAATCTCGTTTGTCATGCAGCATACTGATTCATACAAAAAACACAGAAGACTGATCATACGAGCGGGTACTGAGACTATGATATATATATATATATATATATATATATATAAATATNATGGTGCCAACCCACAACAATAACAGGGGATGGGTGGATTGGGATACATAACAGAGTGAAACTATGGTGTAACCCGAACATATTGCGTTGAGAGAAACTACAATGTTTGAAAGAAAGAAAGTGATTATTATGTTTAGATTGAGCATGTTTGTAAACCAGCCATCTTTCAAGGTGAAAAGAATAATTTTCTCATAGGGATTCAGCTTTTCACTTTGTTGCTTGTCTGTTGGTTCGCCGCTGTGAGCACTGTTTTGAAATACCTGGTGGCTTTCCACTTTCATAGCAATTTTGGGGGTGATTCTCGTTTGTTACAGAACGGAGTGCGATTCAACACAGTTTTCAAAGAGCACACTGGTGCTGTCGTTGTTGTTCAACCGATGAAACATGCCGGTGAATCAGCCACCACTCTAAATCATACAAGAGAGGGAGAGATACGCAAACTAAAATACTTCTCTTAGGAAACAGCAAGGAAGAGGGTGCATTGTGAGCAACTTTGAAGCACTTGCCGAAACTGGATGCACAAACACGTCTAAAAAGTTTAATTTTCAAAATTTACCTAATGAATGCGTTTCAGAGCATGACAACCGCGGATAAGCAAAAAAATGGAATCCCACAATCGATTTAACTTGCAGTCAGAGCAACAATAAAGGTAGCTAATAATAATAAGTGATTGGTATACGATAAATTCATGTGAAAAACAGCAATAATGTATTATTTGCGTAACTGCTAAGTCATTTGGTATAAGAAAAGAAAATTTCCAATAGAACCAACCACTCTATTTTTCAAACAGATACTTACCTGGATGCGCTTGATAACTTCGTTAAGCCCAACAATCGGTCGCGTGCGAACCATGTCCCGGATCAGGTTAACGAGACTTGTTCTGGAGGGATCAGACTGAACTTCGGATTCCAACTTTGGAGTCATTGCGTTGGAATGCGCGGTGAGGAGATTGGAATTGTCGTCTTTAGGAGACGGCTCATTGTTGTGTAGTGGACTATCATTGCGGGCTGGTGAGCCAGGTGGCTCCGCTTTTACCATGAAAGGGGCTGGATTATCAGACGGACAGATAGGTGAAGACAGGATCTCACTCAAATGACAACGATTTTAGGACAAAAAATTCGCAGATCTCGTTGACAATACACTGAAAGTGCCAGCACGATAGGTGTGCATCGGTACCGACCACATCAGTAGCAAATTACAGAATCGGGTTAGGACAATCAGCGAATATCGAAAAAAACATGGATAGCATTCTGAGGACATGAATAAAAAGGTAAACGGATAACCAATATGTGGGTTTTAATGGCGACATCTATGTTCTAAATGGTGAGATTAACTGAGCTATAGACAAACTTGGACAGTGAAAAATGTTATTATGATGCACCAATATGCGACTCCGACTGAAGATCAGAAAAATGATTTCGATAAGTATAGAAGAATTCAACACTTGTCTATTGGCAGAAAAGCAGCAGAAGTTCCAGTCAGTTTATTTCTCTTTTATGCGATCTTATCTTGCGTGCGAATGAATCAACTTTAAGGGCGAATGTGTGCAGTTTTTCAGGTTTACAACTATTACAAAGCTCGCAACTTGGCGTCCCGCTACGCTAGTCATAGATTTATGATATCCTACGGCACTGAGATGGTAGTCAGCGTCCATAAATTCTAAATCAGACTGCTTCTTGAAAGATTTCATCCGCAGATCAAAATTCATTCTAAATTCTTGAAATCTTCCATCCTATACAATCAGTACTAGCCACAAGAAAAGTAATAATAGCACATAAGCTCACCGGGCACGTTGTTCGGCTCTGTGGAAGGTGGTGGGGGTGAACTGATTGGTTTCAACGGCGGTGATGATGTTTTCATTACTGGTGTTGTTGCAGCTCCAACAGCGGTAAGCGGGGGCCGTATGGGAGGACTCATTGGCTTTGAAAACGCAGGAACCGCTGGAATTCGGGAAATCTCGTTGTTATTTGTGTCTAAATTCGGGACCTCATTTGGTGGGGTGGAATTAAGAGCAGCAACTGATAAACTTTGGGTCCGAGCGCGTTTCCGTGGTGGTTCTTTCCCGGCCGATCCATCCATTTCGCGACCGCCGCTGCTGCTGCTGTCGGCCTGAGATAAACTGAGTTGGCGTCTGCGTCGTTTGTTAGTACCACCAGACACGTGCACACCTGACACCAGGGATGGAATGTCATATTCTGCTTCAGAGCCACTTTCTGAGGACAGACGGCCGGAACCACGACGACGACGGCGGGCACCGTCTGAAACGATGATAATGGGATTTCTAAATAGTTAAGTATTTTCAACGTGAACGATAAAATCACACTGCAATATCACGTTCTATGTTGATTTTAAAGCACCTCCGGAAGACTTCATCTTCAGTATCGCTTAAGACTTATTTATTTATTTAATTTTTATTAAGCACTTATCTCCTAATCTTGATTTTCGTGATTCCAATCAGTTCGCTTATTGTAAGCGTCGCTCTACTTTAGACGCGGTAGCTTGTCTTATACATTCTGTTTTATCCACTACAAACCAAAAACACAAAATTGTTCACGTTTGTTTCTTGGACCACACACATGCCTTTAATTCTGTCGACAGAAACATCTTACTAACAATGTTACGGCAATATCGTCTCCCGCCACATCTTTTGAATCGGATGTATGACTATTTTACCGACCGACGCCAATACACTAGTCTTAATGGTATTAGGTCTTCTACTGTTACTATAAACCAGGGTGTAGTGCAGGGTGCAGTTTTATCCCCTTTTGTTCTTTTTTATATCCAAAATTTACCAGTCACCCCAAATGTTTTCACTTTTAAATATGCCGATGACATAGTGCTTGGTGGTGCATCTCACAACAACAACCCTTCGACTAACCCCCTTCAATCAGCCATAAGTTCCATTTCTGAATGGTCCGATGATGTTCATCTTTCTTTAAACCCCAATAAATGCATTGCAGTTTTGTTTTCCATTGACTTCAGGCCATCAACTCTTTCTGGATCATCTTTTCACAATATCTTGATCAATAACTTAAAAGTTGAAAGGTCACAACACTTCAAACATCTTGGATGTTTCATGTTTGCTGACTTCAAATGGTCCTATCACGTAGAAGAAGCACTTTTTAAAGTCAGAAAGTTGACCAGTTACATTTCATACCTTCGGCATCTGTGGGTGCCACTATACATCATCTCCAAATTTATTTTCTCATACGTTTTATGCCAGTGGACCTACTGCTCTCCCGTTATCTTTCCCCGTCTACTTTCTAAGGATTTCATATCAATTAGACGCTCTCTGAAAAGCATCTCTAGATATGGAGCTGTATCTTATGAGGAGCTGGTTGATTCCATTGTCAACCAACACCTGAAGGCGTGTTACCGTCTGTGTGACTCCATCTTGTCCGATGCGTCACATCCCTTGCACACAGCCCTATCTAACTCCATTTCAACTTCTGAAACCCACAATAAATTAAAACCTTTATATACTTTTACCACTGCTTTTGACAACTCCGTTGTACATTACCTTTCACGTTTGTTGGTTTCTAGGGAGCGAATATCAAAGGAAGTTATACATAGTCTAATGTAAATTTCCACGTTGAAATTTTCTTTAATTTATTCTCGGTGTCCGATTCATTATCATCTCGGTGACATTTGTCATATCTTTAAGCTCATTTTTAATAGCGCGCATGCCAAAGCAAAAGCGATAACATTTTTTTCACTGAAAATAACGTCCACATTGGGTGAATAAAGTGAACTCTTGAATTGAAAAGCAGCAGTATGGTCGGGAGTGAGTGTCTTCGGTTGCGAGAGTTTATCCTTTACTTCCACTTCACAAAATTCCCCTATAGGACAAAGGTTTTCAAGTTGCCCCTGATGAGGAAACTCTATGAATTTCTTTCAGGTGGTGGTGTTTTCCCGTCAAGCATTATTTGTCACTGTACACAACCGAGTCGTTCTACGAAACGCAATCTGATAGCCAGGTCGGTAAAGGAACTGCATCACGTAATCGAAAGGAGTTGAATATGGACGTTTGAATCAATTTTACGATTACCTGTATGATCATTTGAAAATAATTTAATCATGGCTATGTGGACATTTGAACGCTGCCGAATTTTCAATCTTGGGTACATTGAACTAATTATTTGCAATCTTTTGGCTAATACCAGCATACTTATGAGTGAAGGTAGACCAAAGCGAACTCACCGGATACCAGGTGTTCAAGTTTTAATTGGACACACAGTTGGCGAATGCGCATTTCCCAGGCGGCTGATTGTTGTTGGACGATATCGGGAAATCTAAACGAAGGGAATCCACCAAGTGTGCAAGAAAGAGGGTAGTGTGTAATCATAGGAGGTCGAAAACATCACACGAAAATATTGGTAATCAGACTATCAGCACACGAGAGAACTTAACTGAGACATCTAACTGCTAGTCCCATCGAAGATTTGACAGACATCTCCGAATAGAGGTGAAATAGCAATAGCTCAAGTTAG